ATGCTTTAGTCCAGGTCTGGGAGGAGATCCCTCAGGAGACCATCCGCCACCTCATCAGGAGCATGCCCAGGTGTTGTAGGGAGGTCATACAGGCACGTGGAGGCCACACACGCTACTGAGCCTAATTTTGACTTGTTTTATGGACATTACATCAAAGTTGGATCAGCCTGTAGTGTGGTTTTCCACTTTAATTTTGAGGGTGACTCCAAATCCAGATCTCCATGGGTTGATACATTTGATTTCCATTGATAATTTTTGTGTGATTTTGTTGTCAGCACATTCAACTATGTTAAGAAAAAAGTATTTAATAAGATGATTTCATTCATTCAGATCTAGGATGTGTTGTTTAAGTGTTCCCTTTATTTTTTTGAGCAGTGTATATCAAAATGGAAATGGGAGGTCACCAAGAGTTTATATGAACTTTTCTTGAAACATGTCTGTGATGGGAAATACAGTTCAGTAGCTAGCAACACTGTCTGTCTCTAACATGACTCAGGCTACAATTCCTAGACTAGGCTGTCTGTAACCAGATACTGCAGTTGGAGGTCCTTTAATAAACTGTTAAAGTTTTAAGCTGTTGTCCTCCTTTAAGTCATAACTGAGGGAGCGAGTCAGCATCAGACAAGGCTTGGTGGAGATGACAGAGGTGTCTGTGTGTGTCTGTGTCTGTGTGTGTCTGTGTGTGTCTGTGTGTGCGCAAGTGACAAATACGCCTCCAATAGGCCCAGACAGGCTGTCCCATCTGGACACAAGGTCACACACAACACACTGAGGCAGGGTGAAGGCCAGCTGCTAAATTAAACTGGAACTCTCCGCCTTTTCTTCTCTGCCTCAAACTCCTATAAAAGTTTAAGTGATCATCCATAATTCAGATTTACATAACCCATCACAGACTGACTGATTGCCAAGTTCAACATGTGCCACTGACAGAACCAGAGACAGGCACAATTTGCCATCTAAGTATGCTTCATTATGCCTGTTGAATGGGTTTCAAATTCAACATTTAAAAGCTTTATTCTCCATCACATTTACATTTTTACTGTATGTGTCGTTGGATTTGATATTCAATGAAGAGGACATTGCCTTTCCATATAGAATGGATGTAAATAGTCGTAAAAGTGACTGTATTTTTGTACTAGAACATACTTTTCTTAATAAAACCTCACAGCATTTCTCTTCTTCTCTCTTCTCCACTTTGTCTTGTCCTTTGTTTCTCCTTGCCATTTATATTTTCGCTCCATTTTATATGTTGTGTAATATCATGGACTTTCTGACATGCATTAGCAATGTCATCATACATTTTTCCATCTAGCTATACACTGAGTGTACAAAACATAAAGAACACCTCCCTAATATTGAGTTGCACCCCCTTTTGCCCTCAGAACAGACTTAATTTGTCAAGGCATGGACTCTACAAGGTGCCGAAAACGTTCCACAGGGATGCTGGTCCATGTTGACCCACAATTGTGTCAAGTTGGCTGGATGTCCTTTGGGTGGTGGACCATTTTTGAAACACACGGGAAACTGCTGAGCATGAAAAACCCAGCAGCTTGACACAGACCGGTGCGCCTGGGACCTACTACCATACCCTGTTCAAAGGAACTTTAATATTTTGTCTTGCCCATTACAAAACAATTATTTATTTTAATAACGGAGCATTTCTTAATCAAAACGCACTACCTGTGTCAGGTGTCAGTGTGCAGCAGTAGGACAGTCAGGCGCAGGACACAGAACTGAGTAACAGACAAACTTTACTCTAAAATAAACAATTCTAATTTCCACGCAGGGAAATACACCAGCTCACAGCAGTCAAACACCAAACAAAGAACAATCATGCACAAAACCATGAGGGAACCAGAGGGTTAAATAGGGAAATAATCATAACGTGATGGGAACCAGGTGTGTACAATCAAGACAAAACAAATGGAAAACAGAAACTTAGATCGGTGGCAGCTAGAAGGCCGGTGACGACGACCGCCGATAGCCACCCGCACAAGGAGAGGCACCAACTTCGGCGGAAGTCGTGACAATCTGCATCTAGACACTGACATTTTAGATACATTTTTGACAAAATTGAGAATGAAGATAGTATTGCCAATACTAGGTTAGTTGTAAAATCTCTGGCAATGTTTTGTATAGGCAAACCTGTAACTTCCAGTAATGGATTCCAAAAATATTTGGTTAAATCACATTATCTTGTGTAACAATCTGTAGCTACTTAAACCTATGGTGAAGCATTTCTATCCTGATGAGAGTGGTCTCTTCCAGGATGACAATGCCCCCATCCACAGGGCAAAGTGGTCACTGAGTGGTTTTATAAAAATTCTAACAAAGTAAACCATATGCCATGGCTGTCTCAGTCACCAGATCTCAACCCAATTGATATACTTTGTATCCCTCATTTACTTTAAGTGTTTCCTTTATTTTGGCAGTTACCTGTATTTCATGAGTGCATCATACCCATTTATCCCCGTCATGCCCATCATGTTAAACATTAAACCTAACATCCCAAGACCACCATGGTTGGTGGCTAACCTCAAAGCAGCATCATGGATGATGGATAGGAGCTGTGTTTGATCTCCAGCCTGAGTAATGTTGATCTATTTGGAGATATCACAGCACAAGCACTGCCTCTGATCATCAGCTGTGTGTGTGTGTGTGTGTGTGTGTGTGTGTGTGTGTGTGAGAGAGAGAGTGAGCGTGCGCGCACGCGTGTGTTTGTGTGTGTGTACACTTGTCTGTCATGTGTGTTTGTCCTTGTCTGTCCGTGTCTGTATCTGTGAATCCGCAATCGTGTGAGTGTCACAGGAGGCTGCTGAGGGGAGGACAGCTCATAATAATGTCTGGAATAGAGTGAATGGTATCAAACATGGAAACCATGTGTTTGATACCATTCCATGAATTCTGTTCCAGCCATTACTATGAGCCGTCCTCCCCAATTCAGGTGCCACTGGCCGCCTGTGGTGTGTGTGTGTGTTCGTCCTTCTGTGTGCACGTGTGCATGTTTGTGCGTGAGTGTGTTCGTCTGACTGTGTGTGTGATAAAGCACCACTGCTGGGCGTGTTGACTGATTGGCCCATAGAGGTGTGTGTGTGTGTGTGTGTGTGTGTGTGTGTGTGTGTGTGTGTGTTTGATGTGAGGTTCAGGTGATTGGAGGTGTGTGTGGAGATAAACATGGTAAGCACTGTGGAGCTGGTAATATTGTCGCTGAGGGGGAGTTCTGAGTGCTGCTGGGATCCCAGCTCATCTGGATTCCATCGTGTTTCTTTGGGTCTGTACAGCACAGTCAAGGGCATGTAGCAAGGTTAGCTGATCAGTAGAACTCTACAGTAAACCTACCTCCAGCACACACTGAGCAGGCATAGCTGGAGTTTTACCTTTTCACTTGTTGCAAATGTTAGCCTGGTTCCAGATCTGTTTGTGCTCTCTTGCCATTGTCATGCTACAATTACCATAGAAGTTGGCAAGAGAGCACAAAAAGATCTGGAACCAGATTAAGTCAATGTTAGGAAGAGTCAGCTAACGTTCTGGTGCCTCATGATGGCCCTTGTTGATAGCGATATAATCATATAGAATATAAATATAAATATATAATATATACTGTATATATATAATATATTATATACGGCTTATGGGTGCCTTGAGTTGAGACACATAATTAAAAGTCCAATTCCAGCCACAGACAGTGAGTAATTTTCTAACCACAATTATGTGAAATGTATTTTTGCTGGTTTTGAAAATCTACTCAGTTGAGTGACCTTGATGAGTGTCATATGCGTTCAGTAAACCATTACTTATGTCTAATGTGACTGCTGCAATGCACCCCTCAATTATTAAATGGATGAACCGATGCTTCCAAACCAAAACGCAATAGAAAACATACCAGTTCTGATGCATCACCTTTAGTGTGAGAGATAAAAGCCGTAAGGAGAACGAAGGAAAGAAACACAAAGTGACTAACAAGAATGAGCGAGAGATGGAGAGAATGAAATAGATAAAGAAAGGAGAAAGGAAGCGGGAGAGAGAAAGATGGCAGACAGTTGAAGACATATTGGTTGAGATTAATGGATTTTAAAGGTCAGTGCAGCATACTGTATAATTCAACACACAATAGATGTGATTGCTGTCAGTGCTCGGGTAGCATTCATACAATGCTATTACAACATGCCTACAACGCTCTCTCAACATTCCTGGGAGCTCTGGCCACAGTGGCTTTGTCTTGGACATGCAGAGAGCGTAGGTTTTGTGAACAGAAGTGTAAGGGGTGGTGTCTTTGACATAGGATAGAAAACACAGGAGAATGTGGTGTCTCAGTCTCCGTTGCTTTGTCCTATAGCTCCATGTTCTCATTGATCTTGATAAGGACAGACTGACTGGATTATTGCATGAGAACAATGTGGTGGTAATTAACTCTGCCTATCCACAAGGATCATATGTGTTTACTGCTTTTTACAAAGAAAGACACTGTATAGTGGTATTGGGTATCCGATATACTGTATGGGTGTATGTATGGTGGCCATTTTGGTATCAGAAATATTTTCTAGAGCCTGGGGCTGGTTTTAGTGGGTTGTGCTGCTGCCTGGCACGTGCAGCACATATACCATACGTGTAGGCATGATACTGAATCCCACTGCCCCCCAGTCTGTCCATCTATCTATGTATCTCTCTCCACCTTGCTCTATACCTAAACGTTGACTACAATGGCTATTTTTACACAGGGAGCCCAATTCTTTTCCCACTAATCAGATTGACTAATAGGGCTGCCTGTTTCAACACAGCCAATGTGGTGCACAAAATGTGGCTATCTGGTTCTCTCCCCTCCAATCCAAGCTTCACTATCCATTCCATTTAATATCATTGCACACTCTGTCTAGGACACTGTATTTTTTATGTACATTTTTAATTGGTAGAACATTGTGTGAAACCTTCTACCCCTCTCCCCCTGTCCGCTGTCCTCCTCCCAATGTGCTCCCCCCCCCCCCCCCCCCCCCCCAGTGCTGATGCTGGGCCTGTTCCTCTACTCCTGCTGGAGGAGACACAAGGGCCTGAAGGAGGGTGTCTACCATGTATCAGCACACCATGGAGAATGGGAGGACATCCGAGAGAACGTGCTCAACTATGACGAGGAGGGTGGAGGAGAGCAGGACCAGGTACAGATACAGACTCTGAATCCCAAATCAACACCTTGCCCTTACCCCCTAAGCACTAAGTGTAGTTAAAAAAGGATTGGATAGGTTTAAACAATATGAGAATTGCTTCACCATGCTTTTTGATAGGCTGGGTAACAATTTCACCAAATTGTTTACACCTATCCAGATCTGTACACTCTTAGAAAAAAAGGTACTATCTAGAACCTAAAAGGGTTCTTCGGCTGTCCCCATAGGAGAACTCTTTGAAGAACCCTTTTAGGTTCCAGGTAGAACCCTTTTGGGTTCAAGGAGATACTGGCATTCAGACAGAGGGAGGGGAGCAGGTACGATACAGACCCTGGCATTTAGACAGGACAAGGAGGTTAGTGTATGTCCTTCTACACAACTACCATTATTTTGCCATAACCTATGAGTCATAAGACCACTACAATACAGAATACAGTAGAATACAACTTTATCGATTCCCTTAGGGCAATTAGCATCACAACTCACAGACACAGGAGAAACCATACAAACCATAGATAAACACAAACTGTATATAAACCAAGCAAGGCATGGGAAGATATTCACAGTTTAGATAGTGAGTGTTAGACTGGCAGCTCTACCAAACCAGGTGGACTGGTGTTGGTAGATGCTTGGAAATTAACACCAAAAGAACGATCCTAGCAGAATCATTAGGAAAATGATGTGAGATACCAATATTCCTTAATAATGCCTCTATTTGCTTTAATAGCACTTTTTCCCCACTGCAATTAGATAATCAATTACAAGGCCAATCAATGGGGCTGTTGCTGCCAACATTGCTACTCAGGCCGCATGCTTTTTAGGTAGAATAAAAAAATCACCTCTAGTCAAAAGCACAGCAGACTGGCATTTTATATAGTTAAATATTATTATAAATTCAGGTCCTGCTGTTGAGTATTTTCTTTGTCTATTAATCTCTTAGTTTTTATAAACAGCTCCTATCTAACCAATTCTCTCTAATCTTCTTTATCTCTCTTTCTCTCTCTCTCTGTCTTTGTCTCTCCCTCTCTCTCTCTTTCCCTCTCTCCCACTCTCCAGAATGCCTTCAACATGGTGGAGTTACAGAGGTCTCTGCAGCCCAGTCCAGCCCAGTCACTGAGGTACAGCTACCCACAATGCGTCATCTCCTACCCTCAGACGACCAAAACACCAGACACGAAGAATGGGACCAAACCAAAAGGACCATACGGACCCAAAAACGGCAGCACAGCGATCGCCCTGCGCCTGGCCCACCCTCCATCCGGGTCAGCCACCCTCCCCTCTCCCCTTGCCATGCGGCGTTCCCACAAGTCCCTGTCCTTCTCCAGTCAGGACCTGGCCCGCTACCTGTGTGAGGTCATCAGGGACACGGACAGCTCCCCAGGGGAAAGCCCTGGCTACGTGACCTCACTGCGTCTCCTGTCCAATAAGGCGCAGCGTGGCAGGCTGGCCGTGCGCTCGCTCAGCTCCCTCAGCAATGAAGGTCAGGAGTCGGAGGTTAGGGTTCAGGGGGGTCAGGAGAGCCTGAAGGGTCAGAGATCCCAGAGCCCACGGCTGGACAGGCTCAAAGCCCTGCGAGCTGTTGCCAGTGAACTCAGAGTGGACGCTGCTGTGGACTCTGCTGCCGCCAAGAGCACAGAGGGATAGAAGGACAAAGGGAATGATAGAGTGCAGGGGGCAGCCCAACTGTGAGAAGAGCGGACGAGACTGGAGTCAGAATACAAAAGATTGGAATTCACACTTGGATATTGACTTCAAGGATATTGAAGAGAGGTTGTTCAAAGGTATCATCCTAAACAATTGGAAGTTGTGAAATGTTTAAATCGATGGTCCAATGATGGTATTGGGGGGAAAACCAAAGGAGGACAAATATTTAAGACATTTTCATTTCTGATTTGTAATCCCTTTGAAAAGTATTCTATGGGTGGATTGTGTCAAAAAATGTGATGCTTTAACTTGATATTATATATTTTACAACCAATCTGGAAAAGTATAACCTTTTTTTGGAAATGCCCTGTATATACTCCATATGGCAAGCACCAATTGACCCTTTGGTAACACCAAAATTGCATTCATTTTTTTAACAGAAAGCCTCACAAAAACATATGTAAAAGAAGGCAAAAGTATTTAGGATTTTAAAAAGGGTTCCTTTTTTGTTGTTGATCATTATCGTAATATACATTCTGTGAAAAATAATCTATTTGTTTTTGTTTTTGATTGAACTCCTTTTAAATAAATAAATATCTTTGATAAAATTTTAGTTATGAAATTGTTTCCTTAAAGAAATCAAAAAAGATTTTGTAATTGATGTTTGTGATAATATAAGCCGATTACTATCTTTGAAGTAATTTTTTTGTGATCCATTTTTATGCCATTTTTCACCAACCCATTTTCTTTATCAAAAGCCATGCTGGATAAATGTATGCCTGTATTCCTCAGCAAGTTAAGTACCTCAATACAGACTTGTTATGCTCCACCTCTTATTTACTGATTCATAATGGCGCCTAAATATGATATGCTATTAAAACCCACTTGTCTAGACTGGAAAGTGTGTGGGTTGAGAACCAGGATCAGTATGTACCAATATCCAGACTATGACTACCTCAATCCCCTGCTTATTGTCTCTCAAACTCATCATCAACCATGAACACACACAAGCTGTTGACAGGGTTAGAACTGTGAAATTCAGCTGAAAAAGATGCTAGCATTGTCAAAATGCTATAAAAGGTAGCATAGAGTCCAACTCAACATGTATAAGGTAAGAATCCAGCAAACACACAACCACCATACAACATCGCCTCAACGTTGTGGGACAACGTACCATTGCCCCAAGGGTTTGAAAAGGACTCCAATGTCCAACATGTGATTCTAGCAGCTAGCAACAAGCTACAGTACATTAAAATATGATGATGATGATTATGCTGATGATGATGAGTTCATTCCTGCTCCAGAATTAATCATTAATGTCCTGTACCCAAACCTTGTTGACCCTTTGGAATTCTCTGAGATGCACTTAAAAAGTCTGTAGCTCCCGGCGAACTGAACTCTTCAATCCTTAATTGCCCTGCAGGACTTGAGATAAACGGCGGTGACAGTGGGGTTTATCATAGGGGAAGAAAGCAGTGCTTCTTTCATAGAAATATAATTAGTAGAACGGACCAAGCCCCTCAGACCACGGCAATTTAACTGCACCCTCAGGAGTAATTCTAATTCTATGTTACTTTTGTGCTGCTCTTGATAAGTGTACCAACCTGCTTACAACAACAGGGTGTTTAGGGATACATGAAATCTAGAGGAGGCCTTTCATCTGCTGTCTAGACATGGAACAAGCGCTTATCCATGTCAGTGATGTCACACGTAATGAATGGCCTTGCGTTGAAGCACGCATAGACCCGTAAGCCTTGGAGCCAGACAAATTATAAAAGCATAATGCAGATGGAAATAGCATCTTCAAGTTCAAACATCCCCAAGACTTATGTAGCTACTTGCAACATAAGCCTTGCTACTGTAGCACATTGTAACCTCGATTTCTTTACCAAGCAGCCTCTCTGTCTTGAGCTCAGTCTTGAATATGCCTCTTACCATACCCCCATCTAGTGGTAACTTCCTAGAATGACATTTCCTCATAATTTGTTCTTCCATTCATGCAGTTCTCCAATTGACCACTACAGGGCAGTGCTAGTCCATAAACTAGACAGCCGGATCAGGAGAGAGCCTGGAACAGTAACAAAATATATGTCCCCAAATGTTGAAATGATGTATGTACAGAAAGACATGGCTAGACAAAAGTATATTTTATATTTAAAGCCATCGTACCAGATCCAAATGGTTTCCTTCCAAATGTTTACTTCAACATCAATCTGTGGTGTTCCATACAGTAGGCCTCTAGATGCATGCCAGGATATCTCTTAAAACAGTTTAACTAATCAATCAGAAAGGGGCAATATGTTGGTCTCTCAAGTGATGTGCTGCAGCAAGACTATCAAGCTGATGAGATCACAGTAAAAAATGGATAGGGAGTACATGTGAGAGGGGAAGTGGGTAGGGAGGAAGGGGGGGGGGGGGGGGGGGGGGGGGCTGCTGCTTGATGTGACAACTGGAGATTGTGTGAATGAGGGGTGACCGAGCCAGAGCCCCGGCCAGTCAGTATGCCCCCTACTCACCCCTGTGTCATCACACTGTGTGTGTGTGTGTGTGGACGTGTTTATCTATTCTTGTGGGGACCAGAAGTAAACAAACACAAATTTGACCAATGGGACATTTTGTTAGTCCCCACGAGGTCAAATGCTATTTCTATGGGGTTAAGGTTAGAATTAGTGTTAGGGTTAGGATTGCGTTAAGGGTTAGGGTTAGGAGCTAGGGTTAGTTTTACGGTTAGGGTTAGGTTTAGGATTAGGGTTAAGGTTAAAGTTTTTGGGTTAAGGTTAGGGTTAGGGTAAGAGTACGGGTTAGGGTTAGGGTTTGGGTTAGGTTTAGGGTTAGGGGTTAGGGAAAATAGGATTTTGAATGGAATTGAATTGTGTGTCCCCAGAAGACTGTCTGTGTGTGCATGCGTGCGCGTGTGTGTGTGCTTGCATGTTTGTGCCTGCGTGCATGTTTACTTACATCCCCAGGCTATGGATCCAGGGATGTGACATTAACGGAGGCCCCCTGTGTCAGTCGTGCAAAAAAGTGGGATGCGTGTCAGCTCTACTGACAAATGCACTCGTTCTGCTGCCTGCTAATCCCGGCTGCAAATGCGGGACATGTCTTCTGACAGAGCGACCCAGCGACAAGGCCTACACGACATCACAGTGACAGTCAGACAGAACACAAGCAGTCAGGTTTGATATGAGGGGCTCACAGACAAGACACAAGGGTTGGTGGACGTGCTGGGAGGGTGAGTGAAAGCCACTCTGATGTCAACACATCCGGAGACAGTGCTGTACACTGGCCCAGCTGCACTTTACTGACATCCCTTTGTTCTCATAGGAGAGGCCCATTATCAAGAAGTTATCATCTTAAAAATATAATTTGAGAATGCTGGGTAATATGTAATGAGACATAAGAATTGAGGGCATTTGCTTTGTATGGAATGTATGGAAGAGGACAGATAAAGGTAATCTATAGACATTGTAATTCTGCAGCTCATATCTACAGTGTATAAGGGATTTTGACAGTCATGTCATACTGTATCTCTGTGTGTAAGTCTGGCAATACGTCTACAGATGGCAGTCTAATCCACAACTGATCTGTGCTCACCTCGATGTCCTCAATTTTCTTCACTCTCGGATACTTTACCTGTGTGGCTTAGCTTTAACATTCACTCTGCTCTGCAATGTTGTACCAACGATGTAGGAAAGTTGTAGAACTGTTGTGCTGTTTACCATTGGCATTATTGGGATTGTCTAATGACACAAACCTGATTGATTCTAGAAGCAAGTTGTATTGATTATATCTCCTCAGGCTAGCTGTGAATACTCAAAGAGTTAGCATTCACCTCTGTAGTAAACCACCTTTGGATATCCCCCTCATTTCTCAGAAGGGTTTTGCATTTTATCCTGTTCCAACACTTCTTGATTACTTCAAATTCATTCATTGTTTTGAGAGTGGTGTTGGCTATAAGTTCCATGTCTGTCTGTCGATGTCGAATGTGAGACATTTTGTTGTCAAGTTCAGTAAGAACACATGGGTGTCGAATGTGAGACATTCTGTTGTCTCACGTAATGTACCATTTGGTGGTTACCCAGCACAGCCATCGGTCATGGAGGAAGAGGAGGGAGGAGACGAGGATAGGAGGAGAGGACCGGCGGTTGGGCTTGACAGATGGGCTTAGTGAGTGAATCATTGACAGGTTCCTGTTAACGGATGCTGGGGACATCAATAGCTCAAAGCCCCCTTGATGAATTACTGTAGAAAACAATGCTGACCGAGCAAATGCTCTTTTTACAGTTTTTTTATCGCTTTGGTGCAATTTTCACAAGTATGTGGTACATTTTCACAACTTAGTACAAAACTCAAAACAGACCTTTTAAAACTCTAAGCACATTTTCAATTGACTAAGTACAACACACAAAATCATACAGTCACTTTTTCACCAAACTTTCACGAAAAATGTGTTTCATCTAGAGATACATTGCAATACATGTTCATATAAAGTAATTGCCTTTTACAATACTATGCTCAAATTACTTTTTATATTATTCTCTTCTCTTTTGTTAAAATACATTTTACTATTACTTAATCCGACTGCTCTTAATTGATGATCGCTTAAACGTTTGGTAAACCTATAGATTTGACAAGGTAACCTGCCTAAATGACTATCGCCCTGTAGCACTCACATCTGTAATTATGAAGTGCTTTGAAAGGCTGGTCATGACACACATCAACACCATCATCCCAGACACCCTGGACCCACTCCAATTCGCATACCGCCCCAACAGATCCACAGATGACACAATCTCAATTGCACTTCACACTGCCCTCTCCCACCTGGACAAGAGGGGAAATAACTATGTGAGAATGCTGTTCATAGACTACAGGTCACTGTTCAACACCATAATCCCCTCCAAGCTCATCACCAAGCTAGGGACCCTGGGACTGAACCCTGGACTTCCTGACGGGCCGACCCCAGGTGGTGAGGTCAGGCAACAACACCTCCGCCACGC